TTTGGGGTTGGGTGAAAGCAGAAGGCAACAGATCCCAGTCTCAATGTACAGTTTTGATAATAAATTTGTGCTAAATCCTTTAATGAAATTGGTTTGCTCTATTGGCTTTCTATTCGTTTTCTGCGATGTGATTTCTTTGTAATCATAATTTTGGCCCACCCTGTAGTATTGCGGCTGTTGTGGCCTACTTTTATGCAATCGCGCAAGGCTAAACTTCGTCCAGAGACAGCTTTCGTGGCCGTGGTTTCATTCACTCCCCCTCCCTTCCCCTACGCCATGAATGTCCTTTTGAAGCTTAGCTCCGGTCTATTCCACCAACTCTTCAAAGGAAGAGCAACCTTTACTGCATAGAAAAGAAACCAAAAAAACAAATTTCTTAGTAAGATCTGTCGTGCCACCGGAAGTCGGCATTGCCTACGACTCTAGAAATCATGTTCGTAGCGGCAACGCTGTGAGTTGCCACCTGTGATAGCATGGCATAACCGCTTAAACTTTTACAGCGAAGGATATTGAATCCACCTTTTATAACAACTAATACTAACAACCAAATTAGGGAATATTCATTGAAAAATTCACCTCTTTGGCTCCTGTTCCGATGGAAGACGGCAACTGTGGCTGGACTCTAAACGCTTGTCTCCAACTCTGAACCCCATAATTGTAAACAACATCATTTGGCGATATCTTTGGTAGGCAGTCACCTTTCCCTTTTTCATAGTATACCAGATATTAATGGAGGTGAAGCAAGGAATCACAAGAAGAGGTAGATATGTTAGAAAAAGGTTGCTGTACTCGTCATCAGTACTACTGAAATCGGCAACGATTCCAGTTACAACAACCACCTGAAAGAAAAACGTTGAGTCTGAAGAGACCGATAAGAAAGAAACCGAAACTGACTCAAAGGCAGTAGGCAATTTAGGTAAGCACGCAGGAAACGGTGTTGGCCAAGGAGAGACCAGATAATGTAGGGAGACAATAAGCTGTCTTCGCCCTCATCCGAAGACCTTAGAACAGCTGTCCTCGAGACTTTCAATCCCCATTTTTCAATACACCACTTCGCCACAGTTGGTTATATCCAGGATCACAGACCGCAAGAGAGGAGTATCAGCACCTTCAACAAGCGAGGCAAGCAAGAAGGATGAGGGCCGCAAAGACTTCAAACTGTTTCATCACTGCAAGACCATCCGCAGCTCACCATTTGACTGTTTCACGAGATCGTCGTATCTACTGCCTCTGATTATGAAGCATACCATAAGTATGGATGGGGTTAGAACAGTCCAACATAGCGATATGTAGTAGCCAGAGGCACCAAAAATCGTTGCCAATCTGCTTCTAGGGTAGCCAAGGTTTTCTCGTATGTCACGAATTATATTGGATCTACCTGAAAGTACAGTAGCTAGAACAAATGGGAAAATGAGGACTGTAAGTTCTATTGTTTGTTACCGTAGACGTATATGATAGAGACGACTTCAACGAGGCACAGGATGAGGACGGCAATGCCACCAATAGAGTTGAAAAACAGTTGAAACCAGTAGAAGCCGGACTGAATAGGTGATTACGATAAATTTGCTTCGAATGTTCTTGCGATGGAACTGATAGGGTATTCTGGCGCAGATGGTTGGCCATTCCCCAGCTAAGTTCGTCACTTGATGTCTGACCTCTCAGAATCTGCATCAGACCAACCTAGTCATAAACCTAACAAGAACTGAATGAACTTTCTAGACCGAAGCCGATGACATTTTACAGCTTTCAGACTCAGTTAATTCTTTTCATCCAATACTTCCATGCCCTTACCTGCCAACACATTACCAGTCCGCCAAGCAGGCAGAATACACACAAACCTATGGCCACCGCCCATTTCCGTTTTCGCAAAGCGGGAAATTGATCAGTGACTGTGGTGATGATTTCCTGAGTTGTACCTAAACTCAGTCTTTTTTCTAGTACCTTTTCCAAAAGATATCAATAGACTCACCGAATTGACTGCTAATACCTAAAAGAAAAAGCATGAAGAAAAATAGGAATGCGAACAGTTCGGGAACAGGCATAGTACTGATCGCTTGTGGATAGGTTACGAAGGTAATTGAAGGAGCTGAAAATGTAATTTATTTGGAATTATACAACTAATCAGGTACAGCTACTGTGCATAGGGCGCGGAACTGAATGACGGGTTTGCGTTCGAAATGTTTGGGCCATGCGTTTTACTAACTCGTGATTGTAGCTGGATTGGAACGTGTATTGGAGTTATGCCCTGTCTTGCAAGGATTCCTACTCTCGAAACATTTGGATAGATGGGGTCCTTTCTTTGAAAACTTTCCCTTTCAGACAAATAAGCACAAAAAATTTTAACAAACCGTCATAACTGAAGAGTACATCAATTGGTTTTCCAGTCGATTTTGACAATGATCCGAGAGTTGAAAAAACCGCAACACCACCAATTATACTCATAAGGCTGTCGCACAAAATCACGATGATAGCATCCTCAACAAGTACCTCACTACTAATGCGATGTAGTTTGTAATCCATATATTAATATATCGATATCCAATTTTGATAAAGCATCCGATGGTATTAATTTGAGTTTATAGCGAATTCGTCTGTTATGGATCTGCCCTGCCCACAGAATCAATATCCAAACGGGCATGATCAGGAGAATTTTCTCGATATTTATTTTAAAATTTCAATAGTTCGGAAAAGTAAAGGTATGCCAATATATACCCGAAAACAGTTGTGATCCTTTTTATTATAAGAAGCGAGAGCGAGCAGGCCACCGAAACCAATTTCTAAACTGAAGCTCAGCTGCTTGGCGGCTTCTAACCACGTCTGAAATATCGACTGTAGAAAAGGAGGGAGATCCTCATAGAGACCAGCACCTTTAGGCGAAATACTTTACTCATATCTGGCTTCAGCAAGTAGTAGTCTATTCCTGTCTTGGCTCCATCCATTGTCACCCCACGAATGAACATTATCACTGAAGGAAATATTCCTAGCCGTCAGCAACACATTAAGTAATCTGATTGGTTACCTATTATAACATAAGGTAAAGTAGCGGTTAAAAATGAGATTTTCCCGATAACTGAAACTCCTTTGATTATTGACAGACACGTTATAATCCAGGCAATCAACAGTGCAACGAACATCTCCCAATTAAACATGCCATACTGGTCCATCGTGGCAGACATGTTGAATAAACGATGTCTGAAGTGAGAGTTTTCAGTTTCTGGTCCAGGCGACCCCGTTATGGGTTTACTCGACTCCGTCCAAAATCCGAACCGTTAACTCATTAGAGGGAGTTCCAGACCCGGAAACTGAGTCTTTTCACAAGTTATTCTTTGCAGGTAACTGTGGTGTCTAGGCGGAAGGGTGGCGCCTTTTATGGAGTCAGAGAGATTGTTGTCTCTCTGATAACGAACGAACAAGTAAACACGATGGTTCAGTGGTATATATTTATTAACAATCAACCAAACACCCTGATGCGGGTCGTGTCCGAGACAAGTGAAGAATCCCCTGTTACGGGTAAGACAGAGTAGAGAATGTATACTTAAGCCCCGCCCCGAAGGAGCGGTGGTGACCGCGGGTTCTGGCCTATGCCAGAACAGTAACCGACTTTCAATATAGGCGGTTCGGCTCACCTTCCATTCAGAATCGAAGTGGCATTTTGAATGCGTAAGCTTCCTATACAATGACTTGAAAGGCCGGCCGAAGTACAAGTTAGTGTTGTATCCTCTCAGACGAGTCAGGTACTAACCATCAACCGTGGAATGAAGGAAGCTTGGTTGGCCCGAGCGAGTACTGCTCGGGATTTCAGTCTCACCACTGTGCACGTGTGTATTGGGCTACTGGCCGTTACATCACTTCGGGATGAATGAAAACCGAGAAAGTCGCTAGTGGTTAGCAAGGCCAAAAAACCTTCCTAGAAAAATGAATAAGAAGAGATAGGATGAGAAATTTCCAAAAATCTTTTCGCACGGTTGCTTACAAACCCAGTTTTTTTTTCTGGTTTCTTAAAGGTACAGCTTACGATTTTTGCATTATCCAGATTATGACGAAAGTGAAAGAGAAGGTGGAGAATAGAGGCAAAAGCAAGCTAGCGAATCGGTGTTTCGAAGGTGTAAAAGGCTTTGAAAAAGTCGTTAAAAATGGCTGGACAAGAACAAGACCAGAAAAATGAAGTAGAAGGGCGGAGAAATAGAAACGAAAATTCAGTATGGCCCTCGGCTCCGGCACGTATTAAAACGCCAATTTTTGCCCGTCACATATACGATGCGTCGAAAAGGGGCCTTGGGCAAGGACACGGGGATGGGTGGTGGTTGTGCGATCGATGCTACGTAAAAATCTGGCGGCGTCTGCGAAATTAGCTGCGGGACCGCAATACTGTAGGCTTACCCTTCGTTGCCTACCATACTGTCCTGGTGACACTGGCTCCCACTGTCAACCACAAAAACGCCCGATGACAACATGGAAAACAGTGTGCAACGCTCTTCATATCGGATTTTAACAAGAAACCTCAAAAAACAATCTTTTGTAGAATTCAAAAAAAAAACCTAAGAAAGATGATTTGAAGTACTTCTCAATGTTACATTCGGGACACAGAAGGGGATCAAACAGTTTATCGGAAATTCTATGTTGCGAGCTGGACGTCACCTAAACGGGACTGAACTGAACCAAAAAAAAACACAAAATATGTATTAATATATTTAGCAAAATTTAGGCCAGCTACAAGTAAGCACACGAGCGCGGGTTACGGTATTGCGGTCTTACAGCGAATTTCGCAGACGCTGCCAGATTTTTACGTAGTATCTGTGTGATCTGCACGAGCTACACAATGGGTGTGTCATTGAGTACGTAAGGGTTCTGATGCGAACCGCTGATTGTAGTAAGCAAAAAAGTCTTATAAAATTCAGTCACTCGTAAGAATACGTTAACAAAAACGTTGCTCACAGCTAAATTAACCCACTTTTTCATCCTCTTATGATGGAAAATAAGATAAAGTACCGCAGCAGCGAAAAGAATAACAGAGAACATAGATATAGGAGTAGAACATCGCTTCATATCTCGGCGATCAGCGTATTGCGTGCGAACATATGGGCTCTGGCGCGAATATTGCAATCTGTACCGCCTCTATCACTCGTCTAAGATAACATCAGTCGATGGGTGTGGCGTAAGACCGATCCGGTAACGGAGGTCCTATTACACCCTAACTCTTGAGTTTTTGAGCTCGACAGCGTCCTTTCTTTACCCTTGGGGGCCACTGGGTAATCTTGCAGGGAAATCCAGGAAAATGTTTTTATCAGGAACTGTGCCTTCAGACAACTCAGCAGACTCTGAATGGATTCTATCCATGGATAAATTGATAAAGGGGACTGTCTGAATAAGACTCACCTGAAAAATTCTTGAGCTGCAAATGTTGCATTATCTCCTACAGCGGATCCATTATTTCCCAGACAAGCTGAAGAACAATGGTGAGAAATATGAAATACCTCAAGGTTCTGTTATTAAAAATGTGAACTCAAGCTTGTCCCTGATCAATAACATCAGTAATATGATACGATCATCAACGTGCCCTCGAAAAGGTTCCCCATAATCCCATGGAAGTTCATAAAGGGAGTGAGGGCGTATGTTGGACCGACTGGTCATTAATTCAGTAGGTTATGAGCGATTGTATGGAATGCTGGCAAAACTCACTGTCGCTGTTCCAGTAGTTATTGCAAGTTGTCCATTTTGATGATTGAAAGGTGATCACATCAAAAATATACCGAAGACACCAAGCCACCACTAGATTATAGTAACATCCTGTTAATAAACTCAGAAGAGACATTGTCCAACCTACACCTGTAACAAAAATGCATTAACAAATCAGTCTGTCCTACAGACCTGAAACCATCAGAGAAGGCTGGGGCTAGGATAATCCGAGCAGTTGAAGGGGTAAAGAGCGCGTGAAGCCCCACAACTCATTATCTCTTACCTAAACTCACCCAAAAAGCACTTTCAAAACAGCGTCTTTACAATTGAAACTTACCTTGAAGTGCTGGCATACAATACCAGAACGCTTTCGATGGCCCAGATTGTGTGGATTGGCCAATGAAGAATTCAAGATACAAACATGGAAGTCCAACGAGAACAGAACAAGTCAAATAAGGTATGAGGAATGCTGCTGAAAAAGTTCGAGTTTATACGATTTCCATCCCTTTAATTTATTTCTTTAGCTTTCATTTCTTGCCCGATGTATTTCCCTCCGTTAGAGGAGCATTATACGATTTCGCCATCGAAAAGGCAGGAAAGAAAAAGGTCAGGCCACAGCCTCTAGGCTTTTGCTCGTTTCATGCATTTTGGCTATTTCCGCTGTCTCGCCTCTGTTTTTATGCAAATTGCTCTGTTTACCTGCTTTCTTGCAAGGTTATCCGTCATTGCCGCATTGCCAGACGACGCTCTCTTTCACATGCATACACATACATAGAAGGCCAGTCCATCATTCTGTTTCTCTACTTTTTGTAGGCTGTACGACTGTAAAGCCCTCCTCCAACTGCTGTCTGTCTGTCTGTCTTTCTGTCTATCTGTCTGTCTGTCTGTCTGTCTGTCTGCCTGTCTCTCTGTCTGTCTGTCTGTCTGTCTGTCTGTTTGTAACGCCTGCTTGACTAACTGGTTGTTGCATCGCCCATCTAAAGCTTACATAATTATCTGCAACTGTTATATGCAAAGGAGTATAAGTGGCTTCTCAAGAAGTTGAGGGAGATCCTTACCAGCCGAAGTTGTAGCCGAGGTTGTTACAATACGCCCATCTCTGAATGAGATGTTCAGCTTTTCTAAATGTCATTTCCACTCTTATCTCATTTCTACCATCGTTCCCCCTATCACTTACTGAGGAATGGTCCCTAGTCGAAACGGCCATATAAGTATTCCATTCAAAAAAGGTCTAACATATTTCATGATGGCAAGGTTCAACACCCATATCCTCCTCACTGTAGCCTTAGCGAAACCGGATTCTGTCAACGAACTCGTACAGGTAACAGTAGCTGAGCATCACCACTGAAAATTTCTTTCACAACAAATGCGAAATATCCTCAAATTGCAGGACGCTTCCCAAGTCGGTCTACCTTAATGAAATTTCTATCTCCCTGAACTTCTCACCTGAGCTCATTCACTGTTACGAATTGTCAGACAGTGGATTCACCAGCACCCACAAAGTAGGTAATTTGGAGCTGATTAGTTACTGGCACTCTCTCGGGCTGCAGCAGTAAAAGTGGAGTAATAGACACAATCAAAGTGTTTATGCAAAAGTCACTTCGCCATTCGCGAACAACCATGGGCGCCGATTGAGCTTAACTTCCAGTTGGTTCGCTTCAGTTGTTCTAGGTAGTTTCTTCGTTCTCTGTACACCTTCTCGAACTATCCTCGAAGCTAACACATTTTTTTATTCTCACCTTTGTTTCAATGATTTATTGAAGCATGTATCCACCCACCACCACTTCCTATCAGGCGCAAGGAGCGTCATCGATTCGTGCAGTCCGAATGTATCGACAGATTGCTCAGGTATGTATGTATGTTCAGAAATGGGTTTCCCTATAGTATTCAACGGTCGAGGTAGGTGGGTGGTGCAGTGCAATTATCGCACTAACAAGAGCGCATGGTCCGAGGATCAAATCCCAGAACGATATTCGCCCGGGTCACTTCCATAGCTTCGTAGGCGGTTAGTTGCTACCGGACTCGCATGGGTGGATAGAAGCACTGACTTACACATCGACTGACCACCGCAATTCATTGTATGATACTTTCATCCAAGCCAAAGACATTCTCCTATTCCAGTCTGCACAAAAATCGAAAAATTGATCGAACGAAGTGAAAAATAAAACGATAGATGCAGAAGATATGATTTTTTGTTTTCGAAGAAGCAAATTCCTTCCATTTTCCATCAAGGAACGGGAAGAATATCGAAGTAAGAAGCGCTTGTTTGTGCCATCTCAAGTTATGTAGGGCAATGCCGGCCAAATTCAAAATCACGAAAATGTGAGGAGATGCTTGCTAATTATTGATGAAAGCCTTTTCTCACGGCCAGTCAGAGTTATTTGAGTAGTGCTTCTTTTTTTGAAAACGTATGCAAAGGCTGCACAAGTACCCACCTCCCCCATTTTCGTAGGCCATAGCTGGAAATCTCCAAATATTACCCAAACCAACTGAAAATCCAATGCAAGTGAGTACAAATTGAATTTGGTTACTCCATGCTCCACGAGAATTGTCCGTCATCCTGAAAAGCTAGCGTTGGCTTCAGTTGAGGACAAACAACTCAAACACCAAGCACCTTTCTCTTTATAGTGGCGTGGGTGAAATGGAGGTGAAATCGGAAAAGGTAACAGTAGTAATCGAAATAAAAATCGGCTCAACGTAACGTCAGGATGACAATAATAACTGAGGGTTGAGGCATGAGGTCAGACTGGAAGCGAAGCCTGGGGTACCTGGACTCCAGGCTCGACTGGAAGCCTTGGTGAGATACCGATCGAGACATGACGGCACCAAAAGACGGATCTGGGTGAACAACCTGGTTCCTTAGCAGTGCAACTGCAGAAGGGATCCCAATGCATGTTCGAGGAAACCCTACCATAGAGCAGAAGGAAAATGCGGTGAAGTATTTTAGTTACTAGGGCTCCAGGTCGGCTGTTTTCGAAATGAGGCTGTACGAGCGCTTACTCGACCACCAGCTGAGGAACAGTCCGAACCTTCTACCCTCATCAGATTTTTGGAAGAGCGTCGATAGTGGATCTCTCCGAAATGACTATTCTCAATTATGGAGAGATAGGGTTGGGGTGAGCAATTAAACTCTTTTTGGAAATGGAATGGAATGGAGTAGATTGTGGCTCATCACTGGGCCCCCACCCAGTCTGACAGTTCTGGTGCAGTACGCCGTGACTGGTTTGCAGCGGTCCATCCTCTAAACTAACGACATCGCCCTGAAATCGGATAATGTGGAAGAGCTTCTGCGGAAAGTACGAAGATGGCCATAAGTACTAGCAGAGAGAAGCCTCTCGAACGACGGTCAAACGACAAACTTTTTTAGCTTCGAAGTCACCTATGGGCAGTCATAGAAAAAGCATGATGACGATATGCTTTCAATGCCAATGATTAATAGTTCGGCTGCTTCCGTAGAAGGGGGGTTGTTTTCTGTCAACGTTGCTTTTATGAATGTTCGTTCCGATAACTTTTCGCAACGAGGCTGTCGACCTGATTCGAAAAGGAACAAGCTCCGAAATTCGAATTAGATATATCAGAAACACGTTGAATTCCTTTCAGCCATGCCATTGTCAATACTTGGGGCATTCCGAATTGATTTCAGAACGTAGGCTACGTTGGATGGCTGATCTGTTCACGTACCTTCCATAGGAATTAGAAAGGTGGTTTTAGTTTTCAGCAGCCTTACACTTCATGCAAAATGAATAGAAGGGGAACTATAGACCGATCAGAATGCAGTGTCAAGAGAGTTTCGACTACGTTTGCTCTATCGGCTCTAATAGAAATAGCAATATGCTTCGAAAAAATTTCATTAAATGACTAAGGTGGTCAGCATTCCGATTTCTTTGCAGGCGCAATTAATATAGAGAACGTTTAATTAAAGGCTTGATAAGGCTCTGATAAGTACATTCGAATGACTGTGTAGTAACTTTAAATTCTAATCCAAAACCAAAAGTGCATAAGCATTAATCAGTTAAAAGTTGGAAGAACTCACAAAAGCCCTACCGTATGACCTCATTCATAACTGCGATATCTGATATCTGTTTCTTGCTTCTATCCTTTGGCCAATTTAAGTGTTACTCATTTTTGTTACTCATCCATTCCTGAATAATAAGCCCCATTACCAAGTACCTTGAACAAGTGGACAAAATATGAAAAAAGAATTATTCGCTGCTGATCCTCTGCGACACCCAAAGCCTCCCTCCACCTCCTCTCGGAATTGTAAAAGCATTACTTGGCGGGAGAAGGCTACACTGTGGAAGCCTTGGGACTAGAATGGGGGAAGAGTCTTATCTTTCTTTCTTCTTTTTGTATATATGGAGGTGAGTAGCCGCTTTCCCTTTTATGGCGGGGTCATGGTCTGTTCAAAAGCATGAGAAGGACTTGGTCGTTCCGTCGATTCGCCGCCTTCGCTTTTTCAAGATCGCAGAAAATAATCTGGCCGTGAAGGTTCTGCTTGCTTCAAATCCCTAACAATGTACACACGATGAATTCCTTACCTAGAGACTTGAATTGATGTTTGTGAAAGCCCAACAACGGTTTGATTGGATCTAGACGAGTTTCACGTCTCATTTCTGCCAGACAAGAGTGCACCCGATCTGCTATAGACAAAAAGTATGGAAAGCTTGGCCATGGTAGAGTAGGAGCTGATAGGAGCAAACTTCGCAAGTTCTAAAAATTTACCCTAGGCCCGCCATTTCATCGAATTGGTGGGAGAATTCACTTTCTTAATTAACTTCAATTCTTCATCAGTGGTCCTTTCAATTTTTGACTGCCATTCAGTTGAATATATGGTTCGTGCAATCATTGGGCTTTTCACATTCGAAAGGAACGCTTGCGAATATGAGAGAGCAAGGAAAAACCTGGAAATGTGCCCGTCGATGTTGGACACATCAGTCATCCGGAAAATTGCTTTGGGCTGGTCCAGTTTTCTATCGCTGCCGTCCGCTTTCCCGTCTTCCAATACAGAATAACATTCTAGAATTTCCAAGAGGCCATATCCGCTCATTCCCTTTCTCTCAGTATTCCTATTCTGTCTCATTTACAAGTGTTCAAAACACGAATGTTGTTCCCTGAGAGAGGCTCCTGATAGTGAAAGGTCCATGAAATCCTAATGAGTGCTTTGCAAAAGTAGACTTTTCAATAGCTTCTAACACACTTGGAGGATCAAATACAATTTAAAGGATCTCTACACACCTATTTCAAGTGACTTTTGTTGTGGGCTGGCTCTTGACCAGTCAAATGGTCCTTCTCGAGAGAAATCGAAATTTCTAGTGATGATCGATCTATTAAAAAGGACCCATGGATCTGACATCCATTCAGAATCGTCGTCGTTTTCAATGGGTAATGATCTTGATGTGTAATGAATACTCGATACTGGTAGCAACCACAATTTCGTTTTCATTCACTGAGCCAAGTGTTTTCAAGGAATGAGGGCCCTACTCATCTAGAAGGTTTCACCCCATGACAAGCTCTCCTAAGACCAACCTATTTCCTCCGAACATCGAATAAGAAAACATTTCATTCATTGGGGCCCATTTACA